TGCATTTTCTACAGAAGAAATGAAATTTGTCTTATCTTCTGTCCACAGAATCGTCACCGATTTTCATGCGTTGGAAAAATGTGACAACAAGTATCAAACATTTCGATAAGAATCCAAGTTGAAGCAATCAATTCGAAACGAATTCGGATCACTTTGTCGTCAAAGTCGTTCAACTTCAAATTTCCATCAGCTCCAAATTCCAAGCACAACGAATTCCTCTTGCAAAATTAACCACGACAAAGACTGGGAGAAATTGCACGAAAATTTGGATCAACAGCGAATCAGGCATGTCCGCCAGAAGGACCCGCGAACGACACCGAACGAATCGCGTTCGCGTAAATCCCGTGGGACGCGAGCCGGCGGTGATAAATCAGCCTGAACGGCGGGTGAAATCGACGGAAACACGATTCGGCGCGATCAAAGGACCCTCTACAAATTGAAACAAATCAGCCGGCTAATAATAATTAATCCGCGGGCCGCATTAATTATCGAACGCCGCCCGAGACGTCCACCTTCCTCTCCACGTTCCTCTCCCTCCACGTCGTTCGCTCGCGCGAGCGCGCGCGCATATGAAATCCTCTCGCCGTGCCGCAACACGCGCGCGTTTTTTGCGCGAGAGCGATAACGCCGAGCCCGATACCGAATGTTGAGCTCTCAATTACGACGCTCGTGCGCCTTTCACTCCCCTCGATTCTCCTTTGTGTTGCAGGAGTATATCCCTAACAAAGTGGTCGCAGAGAGAGAGAGAGAGAGAGAGAGAGAGAGAGAGAGAGAGAAGGGAACAGCCTCGGGTCAGGCCCGAGATCGCGTCTTCATTAACGGCTATTAATTGTCAAAATGTGCCACATAATTCAGCGCGTGCGAACGAGCAGCCGAGACCTCATCTCCCCTCCTCTTGCGTTCGAGAGTAGAGAACTTAACGCGGTCAATTGATTCCTAATGGAGGCTCGCCTCGGGGCAGATCATTTTGGAGTCTTGGGTCTTCGTGGTGGTTGTTGGCTCTTGGTTCGTGGGTGGATGTAGATCGTTGAGAGATAACGAGGAATTAATTCTCTGACGGTGTACTGTCTTCCTTTTGGAAGTTGTTAAAGGTTTAGGGTTGGCGCGATCTTGGTTTTTCTTTTTTTTCTTTTCTTGCTTGTTTGGATACTGCTTGAATTATAGCACGCATAAATTAGGTACCGTTTATATGGAGCGATTAGAAAATCGCGGGAATGTCAAGAGAAGGCACTGCGCAAGTACAATTGAATTTCACAATTTAAGTCCTAACCTAAACTAAAGTCTCATCAACCCCTGTCTTGAGATCTTTTTAACGAGAGTATTATACCTGTACGTTAACAACCAGAGATTCAACCTCGATTCGCAATAACTTAAACTAACGTCTCATCAAAAGCAACCCCTGTCTTGAGATCTTTTTAACGAGAGTATTATACCTGTACGTTAACAACCAGAGATTCAACCTCGATTCGCAATAACCTAAACTAACGTCTCATCAAAAGCAACCCCTGTCTTGAGATCTTTTTAACGAGAGTATTATACCTGTACGTTAACAA